ATTGCACGTAGAGAGTAGCGCAGAAAAGCAAACGCAGTTATTGCAGTATTCAGTCAACACGATTATGAAATCAAGAACTTTTAGTTTCAAAATGTTTAATTTTACTCTTAACTGACAATTTGATATCCGACTAATGTATTATTTCATTTTAATAAATCGTTTCTTTCCTTTAATAGATGAAATGAAAATTTATATCACTTTTGGGGCAATAGCAAATTATAAATATTGTATTATTATGTTTATAATTAATAAATTATAAACCTGTAATATTGGGCAATTGCCTGTTTAGATGCAATTAATAAATAAATAGATAAATAAATATCTTTCAACTGACATCTCTGAAACATTGCCAAGAGCGTGGTATCCACTGATGTAGCGTCACTCCAGAGCAATTTGTGCACCCAACTATTAAACCTCGCACCTGGAAGCTGTGTTCGCGAACTCTGTGAATAGTAAGCTAGTTACCCCGCTCGAGATCTTGGTGCATGATGTAAACACGGACGCAAGTTAAAAGCATTACCAGCGCACTGACACTTCATTGCATTCTGAGCAGTAATGGCTACGCCTGTCCCGTATTGGTACGGGTCGTCTACTTCAAAATTAAAGCCAACTATACCAACTACATACATCTAATTGTATTTGCTTATGTTCATTTACTAAATAGAAGTAGGCTTCTGTTGTCGAAATGTCAGTGCAGTCGCCTCCAAAGAGTCTCGCCTGCGGGCAATTGAGGGATGGCCTCTCGCCTGAGGGATCCTGAAATGTTTTTAACTGTCCGAGGGACTTCGCGTATTCTCAAAATAATTTAAAAATTGCGTTTCAAATTCGCAGGGCCTCGAGTTCGGTCAAATCGATCCGGAAATGGGGATTGGGGCTAATCCTGAGTGCGGATTAACTGCGCCGCAGGTGTTCACTGACGGACGGAAGGAGTTTGCAGCATTATATGATTTTTTTGGTTTTAATAGTGTAGTACAAGAAAATAAACGTGATTAAATATATACACCACCACACGCACGATATGACATTATGTTTAAGTCAACTCGGTATTACAATATAACAGTTTCTTCTGGAAAAGTGATTGTGAAGAGCGCACAGCGGCACAGCCCCGACAGTCCCACTCCTAATCAAACCCCATCCTACCCGAACCGGGGGGCTGTGAGAAGAGGCTCAGGGCATCAACTGAAATCACTACAGGGCTTCTGACCGGGAGGTTCTGGGTTCGATTTCCGGCGGTGACAGGATTCTCGACGCTGGCTAGAACTGCTCTGTTTGGTATTTTCCGTGGTTCTCCGATCAATACCAGGCGAGTGCCGGAGCAGTGCCTTAACAAAAAAGCCACAGGGCGCGCGCGATGTATTCTTCCCAATCCTGCCTCTTACACTACCACACTTGCCGGAAGCTCGGTCGGAGCTTAGAGCTGGTCCTGGCTGGGGCAGTGCTCCGCTGAAAGGGGATTGCTGCTTGAGGAAAACCCTGCTAACCGACGGTAGGTCGCCACTTCCCGAGGACAAAACATACACTACACTTAAGGACTAAGCAGATCTTATCAGTTGACGCGCCCGACATCAATTATGTCTACCGAGGGCGTTTTCGAAAGAACAAACTATTTAAAAATAAATGAATAAATACTAATTCGCAACACTAAAGATAATTTGCACGGCCATTAAAGCCAACAGGAAATCCACAGAACGACCCTCTGAAAAGTGAGTCTTGTGGGGAAACCAGCGATCCTGAGCAGCTCGTTCTCCGCCTTCATGTCTCCCCCATCGCCCCGCAGCCTCGCGCCGGCAGAGAGCGACGACGAAGTAGAGGGGGCGAGTTTTTGTGGCGCAATTGCACCCCACCGCTCCCGCACGCGGGGCGCTTTCCTGCCGCTCGGCGGCGCCACCTTCGCACGCGGGGCCGCAATGTATACCGTTCCCTGGAACGGCTCAGAGAGTATATTCCCTGGAACGGCTGCAGGCAGCGGCGGCGGTGGGCGCCCGGGCGGAGCTCAGGGAAGCTCGCCGAGGAGAAGGATGGCAACAATTACAATATTATTAATAATAACAATATTACTAATGATGATGATAATAATAATACTAATACTAATACTAATACTAATACTACTACTACTACTAATACTAATAATAATAATGGAGAAGAATAAGATAAAGAAAAGGAGATGTGCTAAATAGAAGCATCAAAGGCTGATAGTCGCCGTGATTGCCTGCGTGGGAGAGTCTCGAGGGAGCGTTGCCTAGCCCGCAGGGTCGCGACGCACATCACCTCGAGAGCAATAGAACAACGAGAAGACGAGACAAGCGGCGCCGGGGAGATCGTGTGCAAGTGAATAGAGAGGTAGAAGAGCAGAAGAGGGAATGAGCAGAATGAGCGAACAAGGGCGCTGGCAGTCGCGCCAACAGCGAAATTAAATTTGCCCCAAGAGACGCTCTACGGACGCGACGGTTTAACTTGTTCAGAGGAAACTGTGTCGCTGCTCAAAGCACGCGTCCCGCGTGTTGTGTTATTACAATTTCGTGGATGAAGTGATGATGATATTATACGCAAATACCTTCAAGGGAAAGCAACGCACGATAAATATTTCCTCGAAGAACATGTGACATTAATGACTTTAAGAGTAGCTTAATTATAATTAGTTATTATTGTTATTATTATACTCTCGATTTTACACTGGTACGTGTAACCCCATTCTTAGGCTTTGCACCAGTAACGCAGAGTTGAATTGGTGCAAGAGTATGTAAACAAGGAGTGAGGAAAGAACAGGGAAGAGGAAGGAAAGATCGCGCGCGGTCCGCTGCCCATTTGTTACGGTACTGCTCCGACATTAGCGTGGTGCACTTCGGAGAAACCACTGTAATCTACCGATCAAAGCAGCTTGCGAAATTCGACCCAACTGTCAAGCTAGTGTCGAAAACCCTGCCACCGTTGGAATTCGAAACCTAGGGCGTCCCGGTCAGAATACTGCAGTGACATCAGTTCATGTTCCGAGGGCTTTGCTTTGTCGGTAAAAAACAATAAATAGGGTATAGTTTAATGGTGCAAAACCACTATGTCCTTCAGTTTAGATATTATTATACTATCCGACTACCCGGCGTTCCTCTGGTATTTATTCAACATAACTAATCGTTAGCAAAACTGTTTAACAACGCTCCGTGAAGTGACGGAAGTTAAGCAACTCCAGACATCACGATTTATTGGTCGAATGACCGTCTAGGAACCCCGCTGTTACGAGTACTAACTGCGGCGAGCCCCTGGCCGAAGCGATAATAGGCAATGACTGACCGCGACGTGCCGAAGCAAACGACAAAAACGTAACGGAAGATTACTGCAGAGAACACGCTCGATGACCAAGAAGGGCGTCGAACGATCTGCGAAAAAGACGCAACAAAAAAAAAAAAAAACTCTGAAACAGCCTCACTGGCCCTCCGCGCTCGGCTGTCTCCCGCGCAGTCATCTGCATACTCTCTCGATACAGAGATCACTGGCCCCGCCCATCCGCTGGTCGGCCCGTTCCTCTCCGTCGGCCCCACTCGCCCACGCGCACGGGAAAGGAAGAAAAACACATACAAAGCAACACTTTTGGGGGTAACATTTTAAAATGTCACTAATCTATTTATGATTCTTCGTCATTCAAAAGTATTAGTGCCAAATTTGGGAGCAATCACTTCGGTGGTTCTAGAGTTCTTGTAACACGTGAAAACTACACTATCACTTTCATAATAAATATAGCTTTACTTTCACGGAGGCAAACTCTCATGATGGTAAATTTTTAAAACGAGCAAAAATGTTCAAAACTTCACGGTTTGTTATTGTAATCTATTTGATATTTTTATGATGGGTGCATGTGAGATAATTGAATTATATATTCGTCGTTAAGCAGTTCTGCAAGCCATACAATAACGTACGTGTATTTCTTATGAATTTGCTATTTCGCAACTTACAAAAGTGTTGTTGGCCGAAAAAGTATTTAATTGTAGGTGTCAATTAACATTAAGCCTTCACAACTTTAGAGTTAACTTTAATTATACAACATTAAAAAATTCGAAAATATTATATTCGAAAATAAGGGAAATATAAATATCAAGATTTCTTTTTTCAGTCCTATAATGGTCACTCTACAAACTTCTCTAGGTAAAAAATACAACACTAAACAAGTAACAAAGTGAAACACTTATTTTCCTTTTCGTAGGAGGAAATTGAAAAGTCAACATGGTTTCATTAAACAATGATATTTATCGAAGAATGTGATGCATAGTGACGACTTGCAAGTTCGACGTATCATCTGTCACAGGTCTAAAAGGGCTCATTCGCTTTATTAATGACATCGGCAGGCCTTGTTCGAACAGAGCGGCGTCAGATCAGGAATTTTGGATAAGGAATGGTGAGGTAGTCTCAGCGACACACACGGTTGCGTCAGTGGAAAAAAAAACACGCTGTTGTAAAACATTTAAAGACCTGTATATTCTATGACCTCAATAGTAATTAATCACATTTTAAATGCTTTTTCCTAACATTTTGGAAGACTGTCAAAAACAGATTTAGGAAGAGTGCATTAACATGATCAATTAAAGACAAAAATATGGACACCATATGTTATTAAAATACATGAAATTCATAAGCTCTATAACTCATTCTAATAATTTATTAAGTCTTCTAATTATGCACTCGAAAGCGTACCGAGAGAGAAGAAGAAGAAGGGTTTAAACCGAGACTTACAGCAAAAATTAAATAATTTTGTATATTTCTTAATTTCATATACTGTATTTGTGATAGGTAATAGTCATAAGAAGGAAAAAATGAAATGGGATTGTTCATAATGTAAATTCATACTTCACATTTCTCTAAATTAGCAAGATACCCCCCGCAAAAAAAAAAAAAAAAATCCGCATACGACCTGCAACGATTGGGTTGCACTATGCACTTCTAAATGCGCTGCGACCTGGTTGACACTTCATTGTCTCAACACTCGCTCATCAGCAACCCGCCCGCAGCAAGTCAGGCGTTGGAGTGGGGGCATCAGGGCGAGGCAAAACCTCAGAGCGCATGCGCTGGAGAGAAGGTGCTACCAACGTCAATACACAGTGACACTCGTGCATTTCAATATTGTCACATTTTGTGATCTCTCAATCAAACGGTCCATTGTTAAATCTAGCAAATGTGATTTTGTGAGCTAGGAAAGATGATGATAATTGAAAGAACATACTACATCATAATCTTACTACGACAGAAACTAATGTTATAATATTATTTTTGGGTCTGTACCATTGGTTGTTCTGTTCCTCTGTGATTCATATTTGTTTTCGTAATGGCTGCCTACGTAGTAACCTTATCGTTCGAGTACTTGTTATAAAAAGCTTCGTAATTGTGTACCCAACGGTCATTCCAGTTCTTCCAGTTGTTTCAAGAGTAATAGAATATTCTAGTGTAATTGGAAAATTTGTGAAACTTGTGTCGCCATGGATCTGAAGGCTGTGACACATGTTGATGGCTATGAAGAGTTTGTAAAAACTGTGGCCGAATTAGAAAATAATAATAAACCAATTTTTATACTCTTTAGCGGCTCTTTAGATGAGAGTGGAGAGAACTGGTGTCCTGATTGTAGAGAAGGTAAGCAATTCCATCATTTTAACAACGTGGTGCACATGTTTCCTTTAGTTAGATATTGTGTAACCTATTGATTAACTCTCAATTTCTAACTCTATTTTAGCTGAACCTGTTATTCAAGAAGCTCTTGCATCATTACCTGAGAATGCTCAATTTCTTCATGTTGGTGTAGGACCCAGAGATGAGTATGTTGAATATTGAATGCAAATCATAGAACTGACAATTTAGTATTCACCTTTCAATCATGATTAAATGGAATATTATTTTATTTTAGATGGAGAGACCAAAATAATCCTTTCAGAAAACAATGTAATTTGAAATTAAAATGTGTTCCAACACTTATGCGATGGAAGGCACCAGAACGGTTAGAAGAGGCTGAATGCAAAAAAATTGACTTGGTGAAAATGCTTTTTGAAGAAGAGGATTGAAGAATCTTTAAAAAGTTTTTACTGTATTCTTCCTCAAATGACAATACTGTGTGACATGTGCATATCATTAGAGTTAAATTCCAACCAAGATTTTCATTCCTGAAGTAAAATGTTATCTCGTGAATGTACATTGTTGAAAAGATTCCTGCTATATCTGCATTACAGGAATCTGAGCTTGTGTAATTTTGAAAAAATGTGTATTAAAATTATTTTTGCCATTTTCATTCTTTTGTATTCCTGCATGAACATATTGTAAATAAAATGCATTATTGCATTTTTTTTATAAAAAATCATGTTTTGTGGAAATTTAACATTTGAAGAAATTTCGTAAATTGTAAAATAATAATTTATTAATTTTCAATGTCAATGTGTCTTCAAAATGTGAGTAGGCTGTGATCCCATAAATAACATTAAGTTATTTTTATTGAAGCCATATATATCTACTCATTTTGATGGCTGCCACCTAGCTGTAACCTCCATGTTTTGCCTTTGACCATTTGTGAACATTCATGGGAGATCCACGTTGCTTGAGCAAGACCCACTGAGGATGGGAAAAGTGTTTCCCGAAAGTTAACTATGGAAAATTGTTAATAAAATTATTAAAACTTTTGTGGAGATTATTTCCTTTACTATATCATTTTGATATGTTAGGAATAAAGGTAATGTACATTTTATACTCTAAAGTAATCTGAAAATTTCTATCAATAGTCTTGCACACGTTTTATTCACGTGCTCAACATATACACAGAAAATCAGGGCGAGTGAGAATTAGGTCTGTGAATAAGAATTTTGTTCTCAAATGTGTAATACATAAAGAAATGGAATTCACAATAAGTAATTCTCGTTTAATTTTTCATTGTATTTCCTTTATGATTGACTTTTTTTGGTAACTTACGAAATCTACTTTCACTAAATCTATTCTAGAATGTATATGAAGAAAGTATTAAGAAGAAATTACACAATTTATCAGATTTTATACATAACCACGATAACTTTTTTTGGCTCTAGAATTTGATAGAAATATCTTCTAGTTCTTTAAGCTTAACATTGTACAAATATTATGGTACAAGTATTAAAAACAACAGCTGTATTACTCACAATTTCAATAATTTATCAACATTTTATTAGTAGCAGCTAACTAAACACACTTCCATTTTGTGTGGATAAATTGGATGATTTTAATTTGTTAATAGTGAGCATTTGCATTCGTAGGGAAATTGAAGACGTATCTTGTATTTCATATTTTGGATATAAGAAAAGGATTATATGCTATTGGTTCAAACAATCCATCCACCAAACTTGATCACCTTTTGCATCCAGCTTTCCTGAAGTTTCGAGCAAAGGTTGAGATGTCCTCTTGTTTTGCATCTGGCCATCAATGTCACTTTGCTACCTTGGCACAATCTCTTGAGCTTAATGGGGAATATACCAAAGTTCTTCAAATAATCATTCTCACAGATAAAAAATGATTCCATAAAAAAAATGCACAAAAAGAGATAATAGTCTAAATCCATCCCTGACATGCTTCTGCAAATAGTTTTTATTACATGGGAGTGATTGGTTATACTTTGATTATTGCCGAAATTACTCTTTGCTACCTGTATTCATAATTCAATGTAATATGGATATAAGTTAATGAGAGATCACAGAGCTCAAGAAACCATTCATTTCTCCCAGTTGTCTGTCGCTCATAATTTTTAACTGTTAATTTACAGTTGATAAATAAAAATTTCAATATATCATTGACACTTTGTAGAGACCAAAGGCAATGAAAATAAAAAGTGTCAAGCAGAAAATTTAAACATCTTGATTACAATATTGACTTCATTAATTTGGCTGATGTGGTCAGGTCAGTTAAAACATTGTAGTTTTAAGAAATACACATTGCCCAAAACAATGTCTGATTCATGAATTCACGTTCTCGCACTTAATAAAACAAAAGTCCAATAAGTGGTTTCTAACGATTGCTGAATAAAAATAATAGGTTCATATGGACAAATATGTGAGATAAGCTACCTTCAGAAATCCATATTATTCCAAATTCCTGATTACATAATGAACTCTTCTATACTCCAATCTTGGTTCATTCTTCATTTCCATGGTTTATGTTCATAATTATTTTTTGTACTTTTATAATTTTTAAAGTTTACAAATATAAAAAGTATTATTGGGTCTTTTAAGCTGTTATTTAAGACAATGATAAACAACTTGATTTATATTACTTCTAATCAATATCAATTATCTTTATAAAACCGAAAAGTTGCCAGTGAATATTCAGGAATCAACTTCTTGATTGTTATTGAACCCGTTTAAAATTTCAGCTGCTTCCAGGGGGTATAACTGACCCTGTTTAAAAACAGATTAGATTCTCTTCTGTTTCTTATTTTCAACTGCTATTATTTTATTGTCTTCAAATAATATTTGCACTCCATTGAAAGAAAATTAATTTCCTATCTTCGGAATTCAATTCCCAATCTTCACTCGCTACTGGATCTTTTCTTTATAAATCAATAAATTTCATAGAACAGTTCCAGGTAGTTAATTCAAATGTAAGTTCTTTGATGAGTTACGGTAAATAGGAAAAGGGATTTCGCTTATGTATTTCTGGCACATATCTCCAAGTAGAGGCATGGGTGAGAACCAGTCTTCTGGAATGTTACTTAGGTCGATGATCCCCAAATGTAATAAATATATCAATCAAACTGTGAAAGTGTGAGAAACATATTTTGTAGCAACACATTCATTTAGTGATATCTACAGAGATTTGGGAAATTTTAAGTTTTGTGTAATACTCGTAGGTTTAGAAATTATAAAACAGGTGAATCTTTCACGCCGTTATAATCGAGGCATTTGTTTATTTGGAAAATACACTGATTCCATTTCGCAGAGAAAATGGCATCTATTGCCTCCCCCCTTTCCACATAAAAGAATAAAGAAAAAAGGAATCGCATACAGAATAGTAAATGACATTTAGTTTCTTATCAATGGTACAGTCCTACATTATATGAGCAAATTTTCCGCTTTACAATAGGGAGCACAGATTTTTTCTCCTAACTTTCATGGACAGTGAATGGAGCACAGAATTTAAAAAAATAAAGTTTTGCTTTCGTATGATCATGATCTATTAATGTAAAAAATTGTCTACACTGTACAACTTCCCAAGTCTTTATAGCCACACGAGAAATGTTTAAATAAAAACAAGTTTTATCCTTTTGAAAAGGTAACATCGCAGACATTATCTTTACCTATTAGCCTTAAGGCTAAATGCACCGAAAAATACTTGTCGGAAAATTCAATGGATCGCAGCACTATCACAGGGGAGTTTACTGATAACGTCTGAATCAATGGTCCGATTTTCGATTTGTAAACGGTATTTGACGCCTTTTTAAAATAGAATTTACGCTACGATGACCTTTTTCCAAAAATCTAGCAAAAATGCGAATTTGGAATTAGTTCTCAAACTTATAATAGGCACTAATTATTTTATCCTACAACTCGATTTTTGATCTCAAAACGACGTTTATCTGCTTTAAAGAGTTCATCTGGTGAATCTCTTTTACCAAGTAAAATAGTCGAAGCTAATTTTAAAAAAGTTTTCGTACTTTCGGACAAATTTTTAAAAAATGCATTATCTTGGCTGTCTGGGTGACGTCGCGTCGAAGACTATTTTGTCGTGGTCTTCTTCAGGGCTGGTATGCCCAATCATCTGATGGTATGGACATGCTAAGACCACGACAAGATGGTCGAAACATCGGCAACAATCTTCGACGCGGCGTCACCCGGACAGCCAAG